CACCGCTTCCGGTTTTTTTCCTGCTTCGCTGTCTATCCTGCCGGTAGCAATCAAACCCTTCTATTCTCACGAGAACATCTTCGATGTTTTGGTTTAGCCATGTTTCTTGCACACAAACAACACATGTTTTGGAATTAATGCGGGTGTTCAGAATAGAGGTTAAATCCGAGATCTTTGCGAATAGTGAGCGAACGTTGGTGCTGACCAATGGTGGCACAGTCTTCTTGGCAGGAGGTGTGCGAGTAAGTGCAGTCTGCCATCCGGCCCGTCGGCGTTTTTTTATCAAAGGGCTTTTATGACTCTCACCAAGCAAATAATCAGTGGGTAGCACAGAATACACAATTTTTAGTCGTAGCTTGTCCTGACGAGAATATTTGTAGATACTGGTCATGATTAGCACCGTTGTATGGATGAGTTAAACGATAAATTCCAACGTGACGAACAAGCGCGAGAGTGTAGTATCTTTACGTAGTATCTTTCAGTATTTCTATGAATCTCCTTTGATTTATCGGATTGCGTCGTGTATATGATATAGTGCAATCCATCTTTGCAAGCATGTTGTGGGTATCGCACCTCGCTCATTTCTGCGCACGTCCGTGGAGTTGTGACTCCTCATTGTCGTGAAACGGAATACAAAGGCAAAGTCAAAGTTTTATTATGGGAATTACTTACTAGCTAATGCTTATCCTGTCCCCATAGGATATTCACACCGTTGGATATTTCCTCGGCGAAAAGAATGATGTTATCACATAAAGTTACGGGTAGGAGATAACAAGCAATGTAGTCTTCGACAAATTAGCGATTTTTTTGCATGACGTAAACTTCGTTGATCTCCGTCAAACTCACGATGCATACAAGGTTAGTGAGAACGTTCAAGTTGGACAGCGATTTGGGTTATTTTGAGGAAGGAGGGAAGAAAGTGAATCTTTATGGTCAACACAGTCCTTAGCGTAACTGTGCCTACACAGCTTTTCTAGCATTCTGGTCTGATACGTAATGAGAACAAGAACGTCACTGTTGTTGGTTCGCTGCCATGTTTCCAACCAACAAGTTACGGAGTCTTTTGAACAGCAGTTTGGAAGTCGAGAGACGCCAATCCTACCTCATCGCTCAGTGCATTTCTTCATACCTCCCCTCCAAGTCCCCTGTTAAGTTTCGCGTGATTTCCTCTCGATGCAAAAAAAGCCATTCCAAACAAACCAAGAGCAGGCGTACGAACCACTGATTGTGGCAGTGGTAACCGACTCTATTAGGTATCGAGGAGTATTGGGCACCTCGGACGTTCGACCCGGTCCAAGGAGCGTATGATTCGATGAAGTGGACATCAGCCTCCAATAGATTGCGGTTTTCACACACCGTCCAGCTGCCTTGAGGGCCGCTCGAAGGCTCTAATCGTGACTTCCTCAGGACAATTGACCTGCTTTGGGTTGTGCAACCCGGCAGTATCACCCCCACAAACAAATCATGGATCGTTTTCATTCTTATAAAAATCATTTTACTGTGGTTTGTTTGGCACAGTCTGGATTCAGACGTGTGTGAAATAAGTAAATTATGTTGAGTTCTTGGGGTTCACACCACGTCTGGGTGCAGCCTGTTCGTGATGGAGTTATGACTCCGTTGGAGTCATTCAAAACATGGCTACTACATGCATAGGGACGTGTACACGTATGCGCACGGCAAATGACTGAGATCTGTCACAGAAGAATGTGAAGTTAAGAACGATCACAACACTATCTGCCACCAGCCCACGCTTCAACAGGGGACTGAGAAATCGGTAATCATCGAGTTATTGCTATGACGTTCGATCAGTACGTCAGCGCGGTAACTCTTTTTCAAATGGAGATGACATTTGGATATATTGAGTTTTAGTAGTATAGACTCAAGTCCGCCGACAGTACTTGTCCACCTTTCCGTCTAGGACTTGATCTCCATGCCCTTCGTGTTGTCAATGCGCCAACTAACTAACTCTGATATTGCTGTCTGACTTTTTTCTCTCTCTCACCTCTCCATCTCTTCCCTGCTATCGGGCCAAATTAACTCACTCATTGTCATAGAAGACAGCATCTAAACAAACTTCAATTGGCCATTCTGGTTGACCCCTGTGTGAGCTGTTCGGTACACGCGCTCCATGTGNCTCGGATCGGCTGATGCATGTACACAACGGATAAGCCCCAATTGAAGCGACACACTAGTTTCGTGTTTCTCGAGCCTGTGTTTGCGTAGACGATTCGAGGGCTCTGTGTGACGAGGAAGTCAGGAGAATGATCAGTCAAATAGACGTCAGTTATCCCACAACAATACTGCTCACGAGTAACCGAGATAAATGTGCTAGTAATCAGTTTTTAATTTTCAAGTTACCTAAAGTAAGCATTGTATTTTATAATCCGTTTTTTCCAATGACAGCATAACTCTCTCTCTTTCCCATTTGATCTACTTTCTAGCGTATACCCACCACCGAATTTGTGCAAAAGTTCAACGCCCAATTCGATGAGCAATTCGTTGATTCTCATGTGCTTCACGATCAGACCTTTTTCACCGAACAAGAAAGTAATAAACCGGAGGCAGGTAGGTGTTTCTTTTTATTCACCCACTTGAATCTTGTATTATCCCCCATGAAGTACGGCACCTCACTGATTTTGCATTCTGCAGTTGATGAGTTCCTGTGAAATCGTCAACCTTTTGACTGTAAACTGCACGAAAATTCACCACGCTGTAGGTGACCGGATTGTCTGACCGATGTCATCCAATGCCGCATGTGGTGAAACCGGGGATTGTTGTCTCTGCCCAGCGCCTTCAACTCTGATGATAGGGATGACGGTTAGACATTCCAATCAGAAGTAGTAATTATGCATATGAATTAGGCGCCATATGAAACCGATCTGTCCACTCATGGATGATTGACTTGGGTTCGGGGGTGTGGACGGAAGAAAACCACCGCTGTTTGTCGATGGGAACGAACAGAAAAATCAGTAGAGCATATCCGTATCCGAACAGTTTTTCTCTTCCCTCTCCTCGGTGAAAAAGGATGGACGACCAACCAGTATACATTTTTAGAGATTAATCCGAATCATACGTGGGTTTTGTTTTTCTCAATCATACAATTGTTATTTCTTTGGTTCACGAAACAATCTGGTGCGATTAGCTATTCTCCTGATCAGAAGTGTTGGATCCCAAGTAGGTTGCCTGTGAGACGCTTTTGGTAGAAGAGATGCTCACCAAAGTGTTTCACAATCACTTGTTGATGTCTCCACAGACCACAAGTGAATGATAAGCTAAATGATCAAAACCACCCAAGACTACGGCGTTGCAGAGACTAGGGCAGTGTATCAAATGTCATAGTACGAGATTCCCTAGTAAAGTGTTACCTAGAAGATGTATCGAGAACACCTATGATCGAAATCGTCCAGCTCATATGCACGCACATGAATTCTTAACGGCCAGTTGTGCTTGACAAGGTGTACTGCTGCATATGGGACATGCACCTTTATGTGAAAGTTAATCTAACTGTAACGCCGTTGCAGGGACTTAGGACAAGTCCCCATGTGCTGTCTAAAAGTTATTCTCAGACTGAACGCTGGTTTAATCTGGAATCCAGTAGGGTTGTGCGTTTCGACTACGTCTGTTACTTCGCAATTGATCTAGTGAGGTGCGTAATAATTGAAGGGATTTTTAGTTTTCCGCCCGATCATTTGAACCACATTGTCTTCAACGTGGTTGCTAATGCGATTGAAATCCGACTGAACGATTTTAGGATAGTTCAATTTCTAGGTACATCGGCAACTTAACTTATGTGCGACCTCATATCACAGTCACTAGAGTACGTGCTGTACAAATCCATTGGTGGCGTCTTTTTTAGCCTCTCACAACTGGGTAGCTGTGCGCTCTTTGAGCCCTGATGATATTAGTTTAGGTCAGAACTCCCACAAGTTAGTATCAGTTGCCAGATCACTATCGATGGCATAGGATGATGATGGTTTGGCTGTTTACGCCGATTTGACTGGCTTGTTTTGGGGCCCAAAGAGCCAACGTTCAAACAGCCCCCTCCACACCACCATCACCATCACCTAACTTCCCCTTGTCATCCTGTTCACTATCGTGATATACTCGTATTTTAGTTCTCCGTTCCAATCCCCGAGGCTTAGTTTGTTTATTATCATGAATGAACAGTAAATCTTCATGACTATCGCTTTCGCCTCTCCTACTGTCCAACGTTCAATGATGTGTTGCAAACAGGGACAATAATTGTGCTTGTTTTCTTTGATTTTTCTACCATCAATGTGTATTGTTTGCACCCATTTATATGCAATCCTTTGCCGAACTTGACTCGTTTGTTTCAGACACGGAGTGTAACGAGGCGACGAAAATCGTCAGAACTCCCGAAGATGATTTGGAGCAGCTACATCGGTTGCCAAAAGGTGAGTGTTTGCCACTTCCACTAATCGCATTCTCTTACCTAGAGTTTAGTAAAACATTTGTGGTCCTGTACAAATCACTGATCGGACTAAATATACCCGAATCACGTCTTGCAAAAGCTATGGAAAGATTGTCCCATCTATTGGAGGAATGTGTTCGGTGAGTCACTCAGCCCACATCATCCTCTATCTGATGTATTTACTGTACCACTAATGACTTCGAGACCTATTTCGACTGAAAGCGATTTAGCATCGGTTTGCATAAACACCATTCAAAACACTGGCAAACAGGAAATGTCTTACACTCCCTGTTTTCATGGAACGTAGTATTCAGCCAGAGGTTTTCGATTCACTTTATGAGATGATCCACGTTATATATCTTTCAGTACGATAACCTCCCTTGCCGAGTAATCTTTCGATGTGTACAGTTTATCACAATATTTCGCCAGATACTACTATGGTAACCAGTCAGGTATAGTGTCCAAATGATGAACAGCATTCGGTTACGCGTGCTGTCAAAAGTAAGAATGCGAAGGGATATTGTTAATCAACAATCGTCGTACTTTATCTGAATACTGTCAGCCTCACTGATTGCTCCAGCTGTTTTGTGGGGTATTGTGCTGTCCAGAAAGCAAGTTTGTGATAAGTCTTCCACTTAGTTCGGCTGTGAATGATTTTGAAACAATGTGTTCATATGACTCTCCCACCTATGTTCACCAGCCCGCGGAGCGTTTGTTGTTAAACTGTCACTGTCTCTTCACACACTGTAGTCTCAATTTTACTGCGGTGTTATTTCTGGCCGTAGCGGCGTAATTGCAATTCACGCACGAGGTTCACCGAACAGGCCGATTCGAAGCTACTCGATTTGAGCTGAGAGAAATAATCCAACGGGTGGCTGTTGGGTGGGGTGTGTACTCCGAACCGTGAGGTCGGAGGTTTGAACCGTGCCATCGCCACCCAACCTCCGTCCCAGCACCAACTTTATCCCAACCTAATGGATCCTCGTGCAGCCGGTTCAACCGCCGAGAAGTAGGTCTTCGTCACTTTAGGGTTTACTCTTTCTGGTGTTCCTCACACTGAATCTGTGTAATAAAAAAACAAGTTTGCTTATAAGCCTGTCATCTTTCATTGGTTTGTAGCAGAGCTCTTTTTCATGTCTCCCAGAGTCCTGTGATATCTGACGAGATGGATGTGATATCAAACTGCTTGTGACATTAACCGGATTACTTTCGTTGAACGGTGCTGCTTTTGCAACAATTGAAAACGAGTTTTAATAATGGGCTACAAGTCCTAGTTATGACGTAGTCTTCTTTTTTATTGCACACCTAAATGTGACGAACAGCAGACGGGGCAAACCCCATAGTCACGAGAACCTGCTGTTCAATGGCAGAAGCCGGCAATCTAAGCCCCGGGACTTGGAGTGGCGAACCACATAAGGCCCCGATAAATTAGGCGTGGTATTGAATCGGGTATGCGCATCACCACAGCGATCATACTCTTAGCTCATTTCTTTATTCACTTGACTTCATTTATTCACTAATGACTGTCCTATCGATAAATTTCCTACAGTGTAGCTATTTTAAACGACCAATATATGCTAATCCAACAGGGAGCAGTTTCACACGGGAGTTGTCTTGCGGTGTTTGTCACATGCTTTACGACTGCAACAGCAAGAACCGTTTACATCCTTCGCAGTCAAACCGAAACGTTTGTTCAAACTGCTTTTCTCTCATCCGCAATTCACTGCCGTGCTCCATCCGGATTACTTGATTCCGTCTGCAAAATCAGCAAACCCGGTCGAATCAGCTACTACGGACTCTTTCTCTGTAGAAAGTCCTGTTTCTTGTCAGTTTCTTCGTGGTAAGTAAGATTCATCTGAAATGTCTCATTAGATCAACTTTTCTTTCCCATTTGTCTATCAGCCTTCAATAATTGTCTACCTCTGTTTTTCTGTTTTCTTAACTTATACACTTGATGCATAACAGTTCACCACAGAATGAAACTGTCGACCGTGTGTCCTTGCGCCACGGACCACTGTTTATACAAGTATCGTTTACATTGGTCATTGCTAACACGACTACACTACTAACACTATATCTAGGTGACTAAAGCTGATAGGAGCTTTGTATATAATCAGGACGTTACTAGCCAAACGGCGTGCTATATTTTTATATGCCTCGGAACAGTCCTGTAGTCTGCAAGTATTCTTTGTAGCAGGATCGACGTTTTTTCAACACGTAACCAATTACAGAGAACTGGCAAAAGTGCTACAACATGTGAACAAGAAGAAATCTGAAGAATGTGTTCATAGTTGTGTGGGCATGTTACTTCCCGGTTGCCCTGACCGAGGAATGGAGCTAACCTCGGGGTCCCCACCGAAGCCTTTGACTAGAAAGCCGGACCTGCAAGACAACAAACAGGACGGAGCTCAGATTTCGCAGTCTATTAGGGTCCGGTGACCTGTTTATCGGATCATATGCCCTTTGGATGGGGTCAAACGTCCAATACACCTCGATGCTCAAT